CGGTGCCTTCTTGCTGGAGTAGTCTTCTGTCTTAGGTAAGTTGCTGTCTGCCCTCCATCCCCTTATGGATTGAAATATATATGTATACATATGTATATGTGCAAGTGTGCCGCTTTGGCGGCAGACGGGTGTGTGGGCACTTGGCCCTGAACCGCACAAACGTGGCCAACCTTGCATTTTCTATTATATTTCCTATCTAATATCTATGTTTTTTCGTTATGGATGGCTTGTGATGATTTGTGAAGGGAATGAGAGAGAGAATCTGGGGTCTTTTAAAACAACACACATTCCGGTCTTGCTAGCTCTCTGTCTTGGCAGATTTGAGTGGCTAGGATTGGGCTCGCACTAGCGAGCTATCTCTTTTTGTGGTTGGATATGTCTTGTCGATTTTGTTGATTATACACGGCTTAATTCTTTGCCCTGCTTTAGAGCATGGGCTGTTTTGGATGTTTACGGGTGGCCAGGAGTTCTCTTTGGGGGGAATGTATGTTTTGTGGGCTGGCGTGGAAGGCTTTCCTAGTTTTTTCGGACCGTTAGCAGGGGGGGTCGGTGCGTTCTTGCTGGAGAAGTCTTCTGTCTTAGGTAAGTTGTCTCTTATCTTCTTCACCCTCTTTGGCAGTGACGCGAGTGTGTAGTTTGAGATGAATGTCGGGAATGCCAATGCTGTTATGTTTGATTGTTTATGGTAAATGAGTTTTTGGTTTTGTGGGCCGATGCGGAAGGCTCTCCAAGTTTTTTCGGACCTTTGAGGGGGTCGGGTCGGTGCCTTCTTGCTGTAGTAGTCTTCTCTCTTAGGTAAGTTGCTATCTGCCCTCCATCCCCTTATGGTTTGAAATACATATGTATGCATATGTATATGTGCAAGTGTGCCGCTTTGGCGGCAGACGGGTGTGTGGGCACTTGGTGCTGAACCACACAAACGTGGCCAACCTTGCATTTTCTATTATATTGCCGATCTATGCTTTTTCGTTATGGATGGATTGTGATGATTTGTGAAGGGAATGAGAGAGGGAATCTGGGGACTTTTAAAACAACACACACACACACACTACTAATAAATGCATACCAACGAGCATCATTAGGCGAGCTGACAACATATAAGCTGAAGATCTGAAGAAAAATGTACAAGAGTATGCCCCCCCTTTACTCTGCCTCCTGTCATAACGTGCGAGTGTGCAGCTAAGGCACACGTGGCTGTGGGCAGCTGGCGCTCAACCACAATCAGCATGGCCAGCCTTGTATGTGAGACGCATAGTAAAAGGGGAGCTGCAAGACAAAGAAAAGGGGTACCCCAAAGAAAACTAAAGTGAAGATACTTAAGAAAGGGAAATAATGGATCTATTGTGCTCCATGTTGCTTGCTATAGAGGTAAAACTGTTTCATCGCTGGACTGCCTCATCTCAAGTGTGCTTCATTGTCTGCAATAGAGGTCAAGTTGCTCTGGTTTTGGATCTACTCATCTGGGTGGA